CTCCGCCCCGCCACGCCCCGCTGAAGTGGCGTATCGTACTGAAAATTACACGCAAATTGCACGCAACACGCGAAGCCCTCAAAACTTCGCATGGAAATATGACGGCGAAAATGCCGCTTATGCATGCGCGATAGTTCCCTGTCACAGACTGGAAGCCTGCCCATTCCCGTACCGCCACCATCCAATACTCCCTATCAGCATTAAGTCATGCGTCATCCTTGACGGGCGACACATGCGTGTAAGCCCGACTATCGTCCCTGTGCAGGAGGCACTTTAAATATCTTTATGCATACCATAAATACGTTCTTAAATGCTAATCCTTAAATGCGAAGGCCTCACCCAGTCCCCAGCCAACGCTAGGCGGGCTTATGACTCAGCTTGGAACTCGGCTGCAGCCACTTATCTCGGCTTCACTTGTAGCTGGCGGTCAGGCTAGGAAATGTTGCGGTTGCGGTCGCTGAATTGCCAGGAGGTTCACAAAGGTGCCCCGGTGACAGGGCAACAGCCGTATATAGATGTGGATTACAGAGAGTTAGAGAATAGTTTAAAAATGTACTCAGAGCCAAAGTCAAGCTATTTGCTAGTTGCTTAAAATTGGATCTTATTTTAGCAACTTAGTTTTACATTCATTCTGCAAATCCCTTTAACCAGCGCACTGGGTGGCAAGAATACAAAAATTTGTATATGTAACTTAGAATATGAGCAGAAATCCACGGTTCCAGCGTTTTTCCTGATTAATATTACACATTCAAATGTACACAGATTCTTCCCTGCTTTGCTACAAATCACACAAACAAAAAATGATTGTTTATCGCCCTTCTTTGCGATTCTCATACGTTTATTACATAAATGTTATGTTATCAACGTTTGCTGTTAACCTCTCTATTTTCGTTCCCCTCTTCCTCTCACCCACTCACTTCTGTTTCCACGCTTCAATTGTTAATTTTTTTTCCAAATTTCATATTAAATTTATCCCAACAATTTCGATAGTCGATGCTTAAATTGCAATGTATTTTTCGTGCGCCGTTAGCAGCTGGCTGCCCATTTTTTTGCCATTGTTTTTGACATTTTTATGGCAGGCAAAATACCAGCTACAAAAAGAAAACAATTTAATAAATATGCCTGTGTGTATGTGTGTGTGTGTGTGCTCATATGGCACATTTATATGGCGGATGGGCTCCGGCCGCAGTTCACTTTTTAATCACTTTTCATGAGCTTTTAATTACAAGCCCGTCGCTGGTCCGGGAAAAGAGACCTGTCCGTTCGTGCGAGTGTGTCCAAAATTTATGAAAAAACCCAAACGCATAAAATGCTTAACAAGCCCCTTAAAAAAAAAAACGAAGCAAGGAGAAGCCTAGCCTTGCCTGCGAAATACCCTGTACTCAAAACTAAAATACAAATACGTATACACAATATTTGGGTTATTTTCTGGAATTGCTTCTATAGTAAAAAAATAAAATAATATTTATAATATTTTATTAATATTTGAAAATATTGTCAATTAATTGAATATTATAAAGTATGGGGACAATAGTAAATACTTATATTATTTACATATAATTATGAGGTATCTTTAGTTGTAAATGTCTTCAAGATATAAGCGATCTCTGCTGATGCTGATCAAGAATATATATACATATATATTATATAGGCTTATATACGTATATAAATTCTCCTTTCGTTTCCGTAATAATAATGTGTGAAAGGATATTAATTATGAAACAAGCGAGCTGCAGGAAACGTTGGCAATAAAAACAGCAAGCGACAGGCAACAAAACCATGCGTGACCAACAACAACAACAACGACAACAACAGGGGCAATTCTCATTACAAGAACAACAACAGGAACAGAACCAATTTTGTATATATTGTATTTTATACGACTGGCCACATGGCCAGTGGGCGGAAAGGGGGCTGTGGGGCACAACGGAAACGGGACCAACATGTGCAACATGTCGAACGGAAGTGTCGGCCATATTCCACACACACTCGCACGCACACACACACACACAGACACACACACACATACACACATGTTAGCCTAAATAGGCGCACGTCTATCAGAGGCAGAACCAGGACGAGAGTCATTAGAAGCTGGGGCCAAGTAGATTTTTATGTAATGTCGCTTGGTTATTGCTTTCATACATTTATTTTATTTTATTTGCCGCACACACACACACACACATACTCATTGTATGCAATTTAATATTTCAACTGCTCATTTTTATTATAAATTGTAGAGTATTGGAATGATTTATCGATTTGTCTTAGGTTATGTAACGCACATGCTGTAGAATACAAAAAATAATCCTTCCTAAGAATAACAAATTTGAAAATAAATATAACAAATTCAAACAATAAGGAAGTCAGTTTTGAATTGGGAACAAATGGAATTGAAACAAAATTTATATAAATAGTTGGGTTCACATTTTCATTAGCCGTCCTATATATAAAGCTGATTCGGTTAATATATTAAAAGCGGGATATAGGATCAATCCGCTTCGATCCTAAAGACAGGTGCAAATGGCACAATTATGTTGCATGTAAGTTGACAGTTATATCTTGGAAACAAGTGGAATTGAATAGAAATTTATACAATTATTTGACTACACATTTTAAGAAGTGTAAAGATATTCAAAAACCTTATAATTTGCAATGAAATCAAACCTAGAGCCGAGTGGGAATGGAACGCAATTCAAATTAACAATAATCTCTTGTAACTAAATGGAATTGAAACAATATTAAAATACAGATAATTCGGGTAATATTTAATTTGAAAAGAAGTTAAATTTCAATTTCCAAACTGTTTCAACTCGATTTATTTTGCATTGGAATTATCATATATCTCATAAGAATTTGAACTTGATTCCACAAAGAGAACTTTGTTTAAATCTTGGACTGGACATCTGCAGCTTATTTAGATATTTAATTTGCATGGAAATTAAGCTCAATTTCTAAACCGAGTCGATTGCTAGGACACGGTGGAATAGAACACAATTTATACGAAAAGTTGACAGCTAACTCTTGGAAACAAGTGGAATTGAAACAACATATATATCACAAATCAGAATCTTAAACAGCTTCCGAGCGGTTTAAATCGAAAAGCCGTTAAATTAGAACTTTGTTGTGGAATGCAACAATTAAATAATTTGTGTTAACCTGCAAGCAATTGTGCAAGGTATTCGGTATTCGCATTCTTTGGCCCGAAGGTCCATCAAGCAACGGGAGAAGACCAGCACCAGGACCAGGGCGAGGACGTGGTCGAGGACCAGGATCAGCAAAAGGAGCAGCAGCTCACTCGCTCGCCTGTCAATGACAGCGCCGTCGACGTCAGCATCAACGTCAACGCCGACTGACGTCCGTCAGAGTTTTGTGCGTCAGCGTCCGTTGAGCACGTTGCCGCTTCACGTGACACCGACGAGGATGCCAACGATGCCAAGGATGCCAGGCTGCTGCCCCACATCCAGTCGCAATGCGCCCGCCCAGTCCACATTGCGGCTGCCTTCTGCGTGTAATTGCCGTTGTAATGTCGCCCGAACGCGAATATAATTGCTAAAATGTTGCCTCCAACCGACAGACGTGCCACTGGCCAGTCGCCGGTCGCCATTCGCCAGTTGCCAGTTGCCAGTCGTCGGTAGCTACGACACTTTTCCATTTGAATTTAATTTTAATTTACGCCCAACGGCCGTTTTTTGCCCCGGAAATTGGCAATGGCAATGCGAACATTCCGCACACACCGAGACCAAGTCCAACCCATCGAGTCGAGCCTGACCAAATTCGAGACGAGTCCTGTCCGCACCGTTGAGTTAATGAGTGAGCCGCCGGCAGACATTTGTGCAACTGGCCAAATTGTAAAAGGAAGTCTAATTGAAGCAGCGCCAAGCAATTAGTCGATAAATTGAAACTACCAAATTTAAATACAGTCAACGATTTTGGCTGCCATCGTATTTAACTCAAATATTCCAGACTCATTTGTTAGATATACATATATGACTTTATAATTTTCCACTCTGGAATATCACGCATCTTCTGCTTAACAAACGGTTATACCCCTTCATTTTTCTCATTAATAATCATGATCAGCTTTGAGCTCGCGGAGTAGTTTTCCGCTGCCCGAAAGTCGTGCAGTTGTACGCCGACTCATTAGTTGTAATGACAATTAACAAAGAAATAAAATTAGAATTAAAAAAAAAAAGAAGTTAATTATGCACATAAAATACCGAATGCGGCATACCCTAACCTGGTGTCGCTTGTGTTACTTCTTTCGCACTCCAAGCACATTGTTTCTTTTTTTTCTATTTTCTTTTGTGCGTCATCCTTAACGTTTCTGCTGTGCTGCAACCGTCTCTGTAGGCGTCCAATATTGTGAAGAGCATTTAACTGTCTGGCATTTAGTGGTTCGCTGTAAAGCTGTAAAAGTAACAGAACCCAACAAATATTTATGTATGCAAAGATGAAGAAAATTTGTTTTCAAATTTGGTAAAACTATTAACCACGCTATGTTAATTTCATTAGCATGTCTCTGTCTTTCTTGTTTTAGTGACCGGCTTTTATATTTATCTTATTAATTGCGCTAATTAGCCGTCCACTTAGCGTATCTTTACCGGATTTTCGGATTGTCTGAGACGGCCTGAGACAGCCAGATCCCATTGTCTGACGTCAACGATGTCGCCACATTAATAAATCAGTTTAAATTAATTTAGTTGACAGTTTTTTTGCTAGCCAATCCATCGGCTGATTTTTCTGCTCTGCCCAGACTTTCAGTCTTCCTAGCTGCGCATGACTAATGTTGATTTGAAAATTTCGGCACGCCGAATATTAAATGCACTTGCAGACATAAAGACAATGGACACCGACCCATTGTGCCTCTGATGAGCTAGATGATATAGATTCTCTTGTTGCTATGGCAACTAATTTACATACGAGCAGACAGCCGAACTATATCGACTCGACTCTTGATTGTGATCAAGAATATATATATATATATAAATACTGAATGGTCACTCAGTCGATACGATACACATTTTATTACAAAATTATAATGTACTGTAAGCGTAAACAGGCAATAAATACACATATTTATGAAACATTTATGAATAATGAAATAAAATTAATACAAATGTGGATTATATTTAAATTTGGTAGCCAGATACTGCTTCATCAGCTCGTTTCTTTCGTGGAGTAGACTATTTCGCTGCCTCTGTATTTCGTTTGCCTCCTCCAAAGTGATTCGAATGGCGCGCAGCTCCGCGACACGCTGCGCCTCCAATCCCGTCGCAAATCCTGCATTCTCAACATCAATCTCTCGCTGATCTTCGCTGATGCGGCTGGAAACCAGCTCGTCAAAGTTGGGCTCATCCATTAACACTGCTGGATAATCGGTGCCGAGCTCTTCTTTTTTCACCTCAAGCCTCGGCTCAGTCTCTTCTACTTCGGGTCTCCCCTGATCGGACGTTTCTGGTACGGTGCCAGCCAATATTTCGTCCATCGGACCAAAGTATTCCCAATTTGGCTCGACATCTTTGTTTTGGCGTTTGATATTGAAATAGGTGCGGCACATGTTCCGAAATTTGCGATCCAATTTAATATAGCTGGTCCTAAAGCCGTGCTGCTCGAATTCCCGGACAACATGCTGCCAAATCTCAGTGCGTTTTTTGTGTCGCTCGTGAAACTCTTGCTTGTATTTCAAATAGAGCCGCAAAAGCAGTTTGGTTTCCTTGTCGGACCACTTGCCTGCAGTAAAAGGGATGCAAAGCCATCTAAAATGTTATTTACTAAGAATATATATTTGATTTATGCTCACGCGTCATAATTTCTCTAAAAAGTAAACAAAACAAACTCGGCGTGCGGCAAAATGTTGATCAGCCAACAGCTGGCAACTGGCAGCTGCTTGTTGTGAATGATAAATATCGATGCAGCCAGCCAGACAATGCACAAGCACATACATGTGTATCGATACTGGGCCAGCTTATATCGATGTGCTGCTATCGATACGCCGGTTGGCTGCTACGCGATATTTATCAGATGCGTGCGTTAAAATAGGGATGGCAATTTTGAAATTTGCATTCGCAAGGGTTGTTTTTATTATATTTACGTTCTTGATAAATCGTATTGATACAAGCGTTTATCTACATTTTTGTTTATTTAGCAGCACTTTTTGACTTGCTACACTTAATGCTCGTTAGCTGGTTTTATTTTTCAACATCCTGCCAAAACTCAGGCCATGTTTGCGGTTCCTTTTTGTTGCCACCTTCATCCGCATTTGCCTGCTCGTTGTTCTGCTGCATATTCTCAAATTCGGCAAGCTTTTGCAGTCGCAAATGCATGCGCTGCTCCAGCTCCGCAATGCTTAACGTCGACGCCCGTTTGCCCTGCAATGGGATCTCGTCGGCCTCGGAAAAGTCTTGCTCGCATATCTTTGGCACATGCTCCTCACATTTGTGAGGCCCAATTTGCAGTCCATCCCCAGCACCTTCATAGCGCTCACTCGCACTCGCACTCGCACTCGCAAGCCTGATCGCAAACGACTGATCGACTGTCTCCGTCTCGTTCTGCAGCATTTTTGTCACCAGAATTGTGGCCCCCAGGCTGGATTCGGTTTCCTCGCTCAGTTGCCGCCATGAGTCTGCCATTGTTATGCTTGCGTGTGTATTTGTGCTCTTTGTCTAATTGAAAAATTATATATAATTACGCCCTTTGCTCTGGAAATGATTTTGAGTAAGTTTTTTATGCGAGTGCGCATTTACGTAAATCATTTAACAAGTTGTTCGCAGCTTGTTTAGTGTGCGTGCGTTCGTGTGTGTGTGTGTGTGTTTGTTTGAGCGTGTCTGTGTATTAGTGAACTTTTGATCGAAAAGCTCTGCGCTCCTTTGTTTGAGCTTTTAGCTTACACAGAATATGCCCCGGCTTTTAAGTGCGTGATGAGCTTATATGTAAATGTAACTAATGTAAATGTAACCAGCTACATTTCCATTTGTATTGAGTTGAAAATAATTGACTGAATTACCAAATAAACAGTTCATAAACTTGTGCATTTTCTGCTCCACCTGCTCCAAGACAAAATGCCAAGGTTCGCATCTTGTTGTAGTATATTGGCCAACCGTCGAGCAATTTACAGTTAAGGCTAACTAACTGAAAAATATCAAAAGTTAAGCAAACAAACTCTGGCAATGCTTCGAGTCGGAGTCAGAGTCGGAGTCGGAGTCGATGTCTGAGTTGGTGGCTGGTTAATGCTTTGGTTTCTGTTTGCTTTTGGCTTTTTGGGCTCGTTTCGGCTGTGGCTGGCCCATGGACTGTGTCTGTCTTGTCTTTTGGCTTCAGTTTCTGGGCAACATTGGGCAATGCCTACACACCCATATTTCGTAGAAAAATAATAATATAAAAAAATAAATTTGGGTGCGTTAGTCAAACACTGATAAAAATCATAAGCCATAGATGAGGAGCAGCGCGCACACATCGTACGTGTCTGAGACCAGACATTAGGACAAAACCAAGCCAAAATATATTAGGCCAATTATGTTTCACCACAAAATGTACATGTACATGCCGTCAAGTGGCCTCCTTTGCCCCCTCCTCCACCTCCTCCTCCTCCACCTCCTCCTCCTCCTCCTTCGTCTGCGTCTTCGCCTCTGCTGGCGATATCTCGATGCAGGCCCCGAAACGTGCAACAGCATAAGCGAGAACGCAGTCGACCCAAAGCGAGCTGAGCCCATTTTGCTAGGGTGTCTTTTTTTTCTCTCTTCTTCGTTTTTGTTATTGTTATCGCACTCTTTTCTATTCGTATCTACGGTCTTGTGCCGTGCCTCCTATCAAGGCACTAGCATCGGCAGCGTCTACGAATATTTTCATTTGTTCTTTTCAGGTTCTGCTTCCTTACATTTTTCTCTTGGTGGGCAACAAAAGGAAAAAGTGGAAAAAAGAAGAGGGACACAGTCGTGCGTAATTAATTTCGAGGATTTGAATTCAGATATTTGGCGATAGCAACGTGTATAAATAATTTCCATATCTGACACGTACAGCGTACCTGTCAATGGGTCTTCAGCTCAGATCTTGATGAACCATCAGGGGCAGCACTCACTTGGGCAAGAACTGCTTTCATTTCATTTGTGGGTCACTCAGGTTCACTTGTTGATAATTGGGCGTTGGATTTCTCTATTAGGTGTCAACGGTTTTAGGGTTACACTGGTTAGGCAATGTCTAAGGTGCTTACATCATATAATCGGATATTTCAATTAGTCTCTGCTGTTGAACCAATTAAATTTATATTATTACATATATACGCAAACTGATTGACTGACTGATTGGGGTTCAACACTCGGTCCAGCAAGTTGAGAAAGTTGAATATTTACAGTGTGACCTTATCTGATTTAAGTGCACGCGAAGACAGTACTGTTATGCCAAATTGCATTCAGTTTAAGGTTTTTTTTTGTAACTTTAACGCAGAGTTTCTTATTAAAATAGCCATTTTATTTATCGCCCCACTATGCGATTCTCATGAATTCCAGCAAGCTTTTCATGACTTTAAATGAAAATATTTGTGTGCATCATTATAAATGAAATATAAAAGTACATATGTATGCTATTCAAGGGTATACAAAGTTTATTTCTTGTTGTTCTGTCATATGCAAAATAAAAAAAATCTATCGCCCTACTATGCGATTCTCATGAATTCAAGAGAGCTTTGGACACAGGCAAAATATGTGTTTGTAATCTAAGAAACTTTATTTTTGCATGCAACTTTCTCCTAGGTACATACATGTTTGTGCATATATGTATGAATGTATAATTTTATAGGGTTGTATACATATATACATGGTTCCCATACCAAATATTAAATATAAGAAAAATATGCCATTTCAGTGCCTTAAATTAATTTAATTATTACTTATGCCAAATGTGTAAACAATTGTTTGACAACGGCAAAACCAACTATTTGTTTGTTTTTGTATTATTTCTTACATATCATTCTTCTTCTTTATTACTATTTTTATGAATTCTATTAGTAAATACTATAAGCAACTATGATAAATTTAAGAAAAAATATTAACAATATTTGAAAGTATTTATTTTGCTAAGAAAGTCGAAAAATCATTTTTGTTTCTAATGTGAAAACAATTTCTTGACATACTGTATATATATTCTCGTATATCAAACGGAGTCAAAGTTACTTCCCGTATATAGATGCATATATATGTTTATATATATATCTCCATTTTTGTCTAAATATATTTGTTCACCTTTCTTTCTCTGTCGCTATCTCTTTCGTTCTCTGTCTCTATCTATTGTTTTCTTTTCCTTTATATTTCTCCGTCTCTCTCTCTCTCTCTCTCTCTCTATCTGTCTTACTTACGCTCTTGTTCAATATATCTATCTTGTTTTTTTTTTGTTTTCCAACTTTCTTTTTTATTTTAGGGTTGTCAATATATGCATGGAAATTAAAAGTTCCATGTGTGAAGATTTGGGGAAATTCAAGCCTGGACATGTTTTATCTCTTGATTAGAATTAAATTAATTGGTTTTAATTTCAACAGCGCTTAGTTAACATTAAATAGATTTGATATAGATTAACATTTAGAGTGGTTAGCATCTGGCGAGTTTTAGGCAACCCCGCGAGTTTTCACCCTGATGTAGAATGATAAATGCGACCTATAAACTTGGCTGATAAGTTGAAATTTATCAAAACAAGAGGGCCTCACAGTGTTTTTGGGGGCATCATTTGCAGCGAGTGGAAATAGAAAATGACTTTCGACACGGTTATCAATAACCGGCTATCGATATTTTATGAAAATTGATACGGCACAGTCGGCGCCCTGCAGGGCGCTCCCAAATAAATATAAATAATAATGGGCATTATTACAGTTTATATCATCCTAAATAGTTTTTTCTTTTTCTCTTGCCTTGCCCTTCGGTTTCTATGGTTTGTTATCCTAGACTCCTTTACCAATGCCACTCATAAGCGCACTAATCCGTCAAAATTTATTGCCATAACTGTGCCGAGCAAGCTGAGGATGTGGGTTGTGCACTGTGGACTGAGACGAGGATGAGAGTCAGGGAGCTTCGTCCTGGCAATTGATAACGTGCGTGTGAAATTTATCAAATAAATTGAGGCCATAAATGTCAAAGCTGCGCATGATTCATACACAGCGAAAGAGACACAGACACCGTTTGAATGCGGGGCTCAGGGAGAGAGAGAGAGAGAGAGAGAGAGAGAGAGAGAGAGAGAGAGAGAGAGAGAGAGAGAGATAGAGTGAGAAAGGACGAGCAGATCCATTGCTGATGCTGCTTATTAGACAGCTTCCGTTGCCAATCAAGATGCCTGCCCATGCCCAAGCTCCCGATTCGCCTTGCCATTGCCATTAGCTGACAAATGTCTCGGTCAAATTTCGCGACTGTTCGCAATTTATTAAAAAGCCATCAAAAATCAAGCATCAAAGTTCATGTGTGGGCAGCATTACAAATAAGCCGAGAATTGGCTATGCCGAACTGTGCGAATACCCTGTGCAATTGAGTGGGTAATAAATATTATAAAAGTTGAATTCGTCCAATTTGATGTGCAGATTCTCATAGGATGCACACAGATTAGGGATATTTCACTTTGCATATACCTTGGTACGATGCCCCCAAATTGTGCCCACTTTTCTAAATGCAGCCCTGGGACTTGGTATTTACACACCTTTTCATGCAATAAACAGTCGGATTATTCAAGAACGAATTCCGAATGTTGTGTGGCAAGGGAAGTTAAAAGTAAAGAAGACATATAGAATGGAGTATAAGACATGAAGTCAAATATATTAATATATATAGGAATAGGAACTATCAGGAAGATAAATTTGAGTCAGATATGAAGTGCAATAAATAAACATATAAGAATAAAACTTATTCTTAGCAAACGAATCAAGGAAAGAGAATTTATT